ACCGCCCATGTAACGCAAATTGGAAAACCCTGGGAGGCCGCAGCGCCACTTGAATCCCCTGGTATCTGGTGGCTGTACTAAAATCAACATGGCGGCACAGCGAAACCAAAACCGAAACTGCACAGCAGCGCCATTGTGTTTGGATGGATGGGCGGTAGCTTGCGCCACCTAGAGTTAAATATATATATATTGTAGCTTTATTTTTTTGCCCGATTTGCGCGCTGTTTTGCTAGGCTTCTGCTGCTTTGCGACTGGTTTTCGCATTTCAATGCTGGTTAATGTGCGTTGAAACGCACACAAGCCAGCACTGAAAAGCGAGACCATCAGCAAAGCAGCAGAAACCTAGCAAAGCAACGAAAGTGACACATACACAAACAATATGCAATGCTTGTCCTTTTGTGTTCATTTTTATTTAATAGACAGTAGAAAATACAGACGAAATTTCTCACTGTTTCGCACACGAGAAACAAAGAAATGAACAACAAAACAGGATAAAACGTTAAGGTTACGTGCGACTACGGTGATGATATGCGTCCTTGCAAATTTGATTATATAAGTAAGCATATAAGTAAAGACCGACGACGGTGTGTTAATTGCAACTAAAGGAAACTAAGCAATGAGTACCAAGAAAAATAGCTCAGCTCTTTGGTATTGAGTCTTCATCGAGAACCTTCCCATTCGTTTTTAATATTATCACTTAAATTTAGGAGTGAGTCACTGCTAAACGAAGCGGGAAACCAGAGCGGATCGCTCTATCGCTCATCCTCAGTTAATCGAAAAATATTTAGGCTCATATTTTCACTCCTCGCGAACAGACGCGTGAATCGCTGACAACAGTGCCAAATAAACAGCTCACAGCAAAAAGTTTGCCATCTTTTAAAGTGAGCATATGTGCTCGATTTTGATATGACAAAGTCTTCACAGAAGTCTCCAGTAATTTGACAATGACATATTTCTCGCGGCGAGTGAAGAGCATTCCTGAACAATGATAGGATTTGGTTTTGTGATTGGAAACCACGGTAGCTATTGCCAAAATCAAACAATTAATACTCACTACCACTGCGACAGTTAGGTTTTGTTGCAAACATCTAATCAGAAACTTAAGCATGAGAAGACCAAAAGAGCGTACACACGTCCATTCGAACTCGAAACCATTGATATCCCGGCTTTCGGCAGTCATTGTTTCCCCACTTGGCACATCAGGTGGTGTGTTGATGACGGAAATCCATGCTTGATCACATTACACCAAAAACAAGTTCCCACGAAAAAGAAAAGATAGCCGCGCGCGCACGAACGCGGCATGAATCTCGCGCCGCGACGCACTCCCAGGAGCGAAACAACTCGCCGGCTCGCGTCCCTCGCGCGTTCTAACGGTCCACCAACTTCCCGGCGCCAGCGGCCAGCGCATCTCGAGGCGCGAGGCGCGGGTTCGGAGAGAGAGAAAGCGCGCCCAAACACGTTGAAAGAGTGAAAGAGGAAGTTACGATAACAAGCTTCAAAGCCATTCACACCTTCAAAACAAATTCGCCTTTATTTCGCTTCATTAAATATATGAATCATATTTATTTAAAATAAAATAACAAGTGCCAACACCCGCTTGGAGCGCGGCAATCGGAAGCAGTTTGCCGGACCGGACAAACGTCATAAGTATACGCGGCCGGACGGAAGTAGCCGAGAGCTTCACCCAAGGACGTTTAAACAGACAGGACCCGGCATGACGTCAGCCTGAGTGAAGCCGGAAGAGGCGTTTAATCCCAGACTGCCTTGCGCACCCGTTCGGAGGCCGTGGGGTAGCGCACCGGCGGTTCGTCTGCTTTCGAATCTGCTCCGGCGTGTGCTTCACGAGGCTAGCTTTCGATGCGGTCGGCGTCCGCCCTGGGCGTCCACGATGCAAATGCTTTGCAGCGTGAGTGTTTATACTTAGTTCCACATTATGTGCGAGCGAAGTCAGAACTGGAAGCGCGAGCCCGTTGCTCTGTGCGCTCCTGGCTTGCATGCGCGCTACTGCGATCTGTGCACTGTCCAAAGCTGTATGCTCGTGCTCGAAGCTCCGGCTCCGCTCGGACCGCTCGGACCGCTCGGACCTATGATGAAACGTACTATAATAACAACATAGGAATCAAACGCAGGTGTCCCAAAACGCCAAATACTGGTGCGGTAGGCAGTGGACAGTGAAATCTGTCCGCGTACGACTACGATAAGCAGTGCGACAAGCCGCTGAGCGTAGAGACTCCCTTCGTTCAGAAAGTACGTGATCAACCCAAAATCGATTCAGTTTGAGTTGGAACTTCTCTAAAATCTAGGCATTCTAAGCTTACGAGGCGAGCTGCGCGGGGCCACTATTTGGCTTGAGACGTGGCGCGGTGAATCGAACAATAAAATATGAACACAAAACAAGCTGTTTTCGCTCTTCGTCACTCTCAATTAGATCTAGATCGAATTCTATACAATGATGGTAGCACGAACGAAAGGTCGAGGTCTTCCGTATACATAAAGGTAAGACACGAATTAGTTTGAGTTTATAAGGAACAACGACAAGCAGCTTCACGAATCCCACTAAAGAGCAAGTTATCCCCATCTAGAAGAATAATTCAAGCTCTGTTTTGAATTATCAGGTGAGTAAATATATTTACATATCTAGTGAGATCAAACCCCGTCTTGTTTGATCCGGATGAGCATCGTATCGGACACGGGCTCGAGAAAATCGTACTTTGAAAGGTAGACCGCGGTCGCATATGCTCTATATGAAAACTCGAAGAGGGGGATCGGTGGCCTGGTGCGCTAACGCGTCGCAGCTAGGAGCACGTGCAGCGACAGCTCACGATGCAGAGCCCAGGGAATCCTGGGTTCAATTCCCACCCCTGCCCGTTTCGATTTGGATAGGCATCGTACCGGCACACGTTCGTGTTTTACTACTGCGTGACGCACGTTAAAGACCCCAGGCTAGCGATTGCATCTCTTGAAGGGCAGACAAACATCCCACAAACCAATTTAATTTTTTTTTTTTAACTCAAAGACTTTGTTTTGCATTTCCCTATTGTAGAAGAAAATTTTAAAATCAGAAGTGTGATTGTGAAGCATTGTGAAGTCAACGTGATTGCATCGAAGCAGACGCCCAGTGGATGTCATGTGACACATTTTGTCCGCGAAAAAAGTACATGCTCAGTGGTCAGAACTGCTCACGTGACACATGGGCGCACTGACTCAAGGGAAAAGAGCGCGAGATTCATTTCACTTCCCGCCTCAGTCGTCTGCTATAGACGTGCTCTAGCTGAGCTTAGCAATTGCCTTTGCTGGAGCACTTGCTATGCCGAGCTGCTGTGTGACAGGTTGTCATTCACGTTCGTCGTCACAGGAAAAGGTCTCGTACCACACGTGAGTTATTTCTCTTTGCGTAACGAGATTTCATTGACGCTATAGATTCCACACTATACTTCGTCTCTAGCCCGGACGCGCGCGGTTTCCTTTCCCGTGCAATGTAAAACACCCACTCTTTGGTCATTTAGGCATCCCCTAACCACAGTATGTCGTGTATTGTATTATCAAAATGGATATTTGTTTTAGCCTAAATCAAAACCTGCGATTTTACCCAGTTAGACTAGTATACATATGTATACATTGCAACACGCATATGTGACTATCTTGAACACGCAATAATTATTGCAAAATTATGAACATCGGGCCGCGTACTGTACCTTTTCGGTCCACTCAGCTACCTTCTGGAAATAGGAAGGTTCGATTGGCACATTGTTTCCTTAAAAGACAAACCGTATAGTGTACAAATAATATAATCTTCCTGAAATTTCTTTATTGCCAAAAAACGAATTAAATACATTAGGCATCATTATGCATAGCCCCTAATTTCGACAACTACAAGGTGTGAATCATAAAAAAAAATTCTGATATGCTACATGCAATTTTATTCACTGCTTTGCTTCAAACGCCTTTATTTTGAAACCTTATGTATGGGCGCTCTAGGCACACTGCTGTAAGGCAGGCACGTAGCCAGGGGGGAGGCCCATGGAGCCTGGCCACCCCCCCCCCCCCTAAAATCTTTCATTTTGCTGGGACCTCCTCTCCCCCCTCACCCTCATACAGCATTTTGTCATGGGCGCCCCCCCCCCCCTTCCCCCGAAACAAAATCCTGGCTACGTGCCTGCTGTAAGGTCATATATTGGATCGTCTATATTTACCACCATTTGAAATTCAATGACAGCAGAATTAGGGAGATGTAAGCTATAAGCATACTGGGCCATAACTAAAAAAAGGATAGTGCCATCAAGGTTTGCAAAGTTATACATTTATTCTTAGCAATAAGGCAGCATACTATATCTGTGACACCAGAATATGAGAGAAAAAGTTTGTCATCAATCCTAAACAGAATGTTAAAAATGCATAAGATGGTGGACCGCTGCTCACGCAAAGATGATTTAGTGACAACTAATAATGTTTTACAGCTTTCCAAGAAATCCACAACTTCGAGCTTAATGGGTCAAGACTTTAGGGAAAGAGGATGGCTGGGAACCACCAAAAGACGGCAGGGTGTGTTCTGAGCATTTTCACCCTAATAGCCTGGACCATACCTCGAAAGGATGCGCTCGTCTACGTCAACATGCAGTTCCATCATTTTTTTTTTGCATCAGGTACATATTCAGCACAGAAAGAAACAAAGATAATAGTTAACATTATTAATATATGATTCGAAAGATTACTTGGAAAACTTATATATTTCATGTTTTTATAAAAAAGAGTGTATGGTGAAAACAAAGAAATTTCGTAGTCATATTGGAGCATTAATTGCAGTGGTTGATTGTTTTGGTGGCACAGATGATGGCCAATTGAATAAGACGTTCACTAGTTCAATTTACCAAATGCTTACCATTCATTAGACAGTCAACAGCTTAATTTGCATTAATTTCTTTAGGAACCCTCCCATCTTCTGGCCGTGCAGTCCCCAGTGGAGCAAGGTTTCGAGGTGACTACTTTGGCGAGATCAACCCTCAGAGCATACTTTTCTCCTTAGGTCAGGCTACACATAATGTGTATGTTTCTTGTAGGAGCAAACCGCAACAGACCAGGTCACCGCTGCCGAGGAGGGACCACAGGTAACTGTGTCGCATAGGCCAAACAAAGCTCAGCTGATAGAAACCCTTACAGGAACCTGCCCAGCCACTGGCCGTGCAGTTCATTCTGCAGGCTCCAATGGAGCAAGGTTTCGAGGTGACTACTTTGGCTAGATCAACCCTCAGAGCATACTTTTCTCTTTAGATCAGGCTACACATAATGTGTATGTTTCTTGTAGGACCAAACTGCAACAGACCAGGTCACCGCTGCCGAGGAGGGACCACAGGTAACTGCGTCGCATAGGCCAAACAAAGCTCAGCTGATAGAAACCCTTACAGGAACCTGCCCAGCCACTGGCCGTGCAGTTCATTCTGCAGGCTCCAATGGAGCAAGGTTTCGAGGTGAGTACTTTGGCTAGGTGAACCCTCAGTGCGTACATCTCTGTAGACCAGGCTACACCATAATATGTATGTTGGATGTAGGTTGAGACTAAGCTAAACATTTTCACAAAACAAGTGACTTGCCCAGGGACAACAGGCTAATACTAACAAAGGGACATGACAAAGTAATGTATGACTTGTTCACAATCTAGATTGGAGGTTATTATTTTCCTGTCTAGCCTTGCATGTCGTTGCATACAGATATTTTCCTTGAGGAAATAAATTACTTAGAATTAAAATTATTTATTTCAAACTATATATGTATACCAGATTTTTTGGCATTAGAAATTGAAACATTTATGTAGAGAGCAAATTTATATACCGAGTAGACTTTAACACAATAAAATAAGTATGTTATTATTATCTAGATATCATGCATAGAAAATAATGTACAATAATCGTTCACTGTTTCTTTTTGTTTTTTGTTTTTCACTTTCTAGACACCAGGGACAAGCCGTGTCTTCGTGCCTCAACCCTCAACAAGTCACTAAATTCCATTGGTAAGAAACTTGGGATGATCAAAAATGTTTCAGAGGTGACCCAGCAATATAAAACAAATTACACCAAAATTTACTCAACAAAATCAACATTTTAACCCAAAATAAATTGTGTCTCTGATCTTTTCATTTCTTGTCATATCACAATAATCGTTCACTGTTTCTTTTTGTTTTTTGTTTTTCACTTTCTAGACACCAGGGACAAGCCGTGTCTTTGTGCCTCAACCCTCAACAAGTCACGAAATCCCAGTAGTAAGAAACTTGGGATGCTCAAAAATGTTTCAGAGGTGACCCAGCAATATAAAACAAAATACACCAAAATTTACTCAACAAAATCAACATTTTAACCCAAAATAAATTGTGTCTCTGATCTTTTCATTTCTTGTCATATCACAATAATCGTTCACTGTTTTTTTTTTCACTTTCTAGACACCAGGGACAAGCCGTGTCTTCGTGCCTCAACCCTCAACAAGTCACGAAATCCCAGTGGTAAGAAACTTAGGATGCTCAAAAATGTTTCAGAGGTGACCCAGCATTATAAAACAAATTACACCAAAATTTACTCAACAAAATCAACATTTTAACCCAAAATAAATTGTGTCTGGTCTTTTCATTTCTTGTCATATCACAATAATCGTTCACTGTTTTTTTTTTCACTTTCTAGACACCAGGGACAAGCCGTGTCTTCGTGCCTCAACCCTCAACAAGTCACGAAATCCCAGTGGTAGGAAACTTGGGATGCTCAAAAATGTTTCAGAGGTGACCCAGCATTATAAAACAAATTACACCAAAATTTACTCAACAAAATCAACATTTTAACCCAAAATAAATTGTGTCTGGTCTTTTCATTTCTTGTCTTATCACAATAATCGTTCACTGTTTTTTTGTTTGTTTGTTTCACTTTCTAGACACCAGGGACAAGCCGTGTCTTCGTGCCTCAACCCTCAACAAGTTACGAAATCCCAGTGGTAAGAAACTTGGGATGCTCAAAAATGTTTCGGGGGTGACCCAGCATTATAAAACAAATTACACCAAAATTTACTCAACAAAATCAACATTTTAACCCAAAATAAATTGTGTCTGGTCTTTTCATTTCTTGTCATATCACAATAATCGTTCACTGTTTTTTTTTCACTTTCTAGACACCAGGGACAAGCCGTGTCTTCGTGCCTCAACCCTCAACAAGTCACGAAATCCCAGTGGTAAGAAACTTGGGATGATCAAAAATGTTTCAGAGGTGACCCAGCATTATAAAACAAATTACACCAAAATTTACTCAACAAAATCAACATTTTAACCCAAAATAAATTGTGTCTGGTCTTTTCATTTCTTGTCATATCACAATAATCGTTCACTGTTTTTTTTTTCACTTTCTAGACACCAGGGACAAGCCGTGTCTTCGTGCCTCAACCCTCAACAAGTCACGAAATCCCAGTGGTAAGAAACTTGGGATGCTCAAAAATGTTTCAGAGGTGACCCAGCATTATAAAACAATTTACACCAAAATTTACTCAACAAAATCAACATTTTAACCCAAAATAAATTGTGTCTCCGATCTTTTCATTTCTTGTCATATCACAAAAATCGTTCACTGTTTTTTTTTCTTTCACTTTCTAGACACCAGGGACAAGCCGTGTCTTCGTGCCTCAACCCTCAACAAGTCACGAAATCCCAGTTGTAAGAAACTTGGGATGCTCAAAAATGTTTCAGAGGTGACCCAGCATTATAAAACAAATTACACCAAAATTTACTCAACAAAATCAACATTTTAACCCAAAATAAATTGTGTCTAGTCTTTTCATTTCTTGTCTTATCACAATAATCGTTCACTGTTTTTTTGTTTGTTTGTTTCACTTTCTAGACACCAGGGACAAGCCGTGTCTTCGTGCCTCAACCCTCAACAAGTTACGAAATCCCTGTGGTAAGAAACTTGGGACGCTCAAAAATGTTTCAGAGGTGACCCAGCATTATAAAACAAATTACACCAAAATTTACTCAACAAAATCAACATTTTAACCCAAAATAAATTGTGTCTGGTCTTTTCATATCTTGTCTTATCACAATAATCGTTTACTGTTTTTTTGTTTGTTTGTTTCACTTTCTAGACACCAGGGACAAGCCGTGTCTTCGTGCCTCAACCCTCAACAAGTTACGAAATCCCTGTGGTAAGAAACTTGGGACGCTCAAAAATGTTTCAGAGGTGACCCAGCATTATAAAACAAATTACACCAAAATTTACTCAACAAAATCAACATTTTAACCCAAAATAAATTGTGTCTGGTCTTTTCATATCTTGTCTTATCACAATAATCGTTTACTGTTTTTTTGTTTGTTTGTTTCACTTTCTAGACACCAGGGACAAGCCGTGTCTTCGTGCCTCAACCCTCAACAAGTTACGAAATCCCTGTGGTAAGAAACTTGGGACGCTCAAAAATGTTTCAGAGGTGACCCAGCATTATAAAACAAATTACACCAAAATTTACTCAACAAAAGCAACATTTTAACCCAAAATAAATTGTGTCTGGTCTTTTCATATCTTGTCTTATCACAATAATCGTTTACTGTTTTTTTGTTTGTTTGTTTCACTTTCTAGACACCAGGGACAAGCCGTGTCTTCGTGCCTCAACCCTCAACAAGTTACGAAATCCCTGTGGTAAGAAACTTGGGACGCTCAAAAATGTTTCAGAGGTGACCCAGCATTATAAAACAAATTACACCAAAATTTACTCAACAAAATCAACATTTTAACCCAAAATAAATTGTGTCTGGTCTTTTCATTTCTTGTCATATCACAATAATCGTTCACTGTTTTTTTTTTCACTTTCTAGACACCAGGGACAAGCCGTGTCTTCGTGCCTCAACCCTCAACAAGTCACGAAATCCCAGTGGTAAGAAACTTGGGATGCTCAAAAATGTTTCAGAGGTGACCCAGCATTATAAAACAATTTACACCAAAATTTACTCAACAAAATCAACATTTTAACCCAAAATAAATTGTGTCTCCGATCTTTTCATTTCTTGTCATATCACAAAAATCGTTCACTGTTTTTTTTTCTTTCACTTTCTAGACACCAGGGACAAGCCGTGTCTTCGTGCCTCAACCCTCAACAAGTCACGAAATCCCAGTTGTAAGAAACTTGGGATGCTCAAAAATGTTTCAGAGGTGACCCAGCATTATAAAACAAATTACACCAAAATTTACTCAACAAAATCAACATTTTAACCCAAAATAAATTGTGTCTAGTCTTTTCATTTCTTGTCTTATCACAATAATCGTTCACTGTTTTTTTGTTTGTTTGTTTCACTTTCTAGACACCAGGGACAAGCCGTGTCTTCGTGCCTCAACCCTCAACAAGTTACGAAATCCCTGTGGTAAGAAACTTGGGACGCTCAAAAATGTTTCAGAGGTGACCCAGCATTATAAAACAAATTACACCAAAATTTACTCAACAAAATCAACATTTTAACCCAAAATAAATTGTGTCTGGTCTTTTCATATCTTGTCTTATCACAATAATCGTTTACTGTTTTTTTGTTTGTTTGTTTCACTTTCTAGACACCAGGGACAAGCCGTGTCTTCGTGCCTCAACCCTCAACAAGTTACGAAATCCCTGTGGTAAGAAACTTGGGACGCTCAAAAATGTTTCAGAGGTGACCCAGCATTATAAAACAAATTACACCAAAATTTACTCAACAAAATCAACATTTTAACCCAAAATAAATTGTGTCTGGTCTTTTCATATCTTGTCTTATCACAATAATCGTTTACTGTTTTTTTGTTTGTTTGTTTCACTTTCTAGACACCAGGGACAAGCCGTGTCTTCGTGCCTCAACCCTCAACAAGTTACGAAATCCCTGTGGTAAGAAACTTGGGACGCTCAAAAATGTTTCAGAGGTGACCCAGCATTATAAAACAAATTACACCAAAATTTACTCAACAAAAGCAACATTTTAACCCAAAATAAATTGTGTCTGGTCTTTTCATATCTTGTCTTATCACAATAATCGTTTACTGTTTTTTTGTTTGTTTGTTTCACTTTCTAGACACCAGGGACAAGCCGTGTCTTCGTGCCTCAACCCTCAACAAGTTACGAAATCCCTGTGGTAAGAAACTTGGGACGCTCAAAAATGTTTCAGAGGTGACCCAGCATTATAAAACAAATTACACCAAAATTTACTCAACAAAATCAACATTTTAACCCAAAATAAATTGTGTCTGGTCTTTTCATATCTTGTCTTATCACAATAATCGTTTACTGTTTTTTTGTTTGTTTGTTTCACTTTCTAGACACCAGGGACAAGCCGTGTCTTCGTGCCTCAACCCTCAACAAGTTACGAAATCCCTGTGGTAAGAAACTTGGGACGCTCAAAAATGTTTCAGAGGTGACCCAGCATTATAAAACAAATTACACCAAAATTTACTCAACAAAATCAACATTTTAACCCAAAATAAATTGTGTCTGGTCTTTTCATATCTTGTCTTATCACAATAATCGTTTACTGTTTTTTTGTTTGTTTGTTTCACTTTCTAGACACCAGGGACAAGCCGTGTCTTCGTGCCTCAACCCTCAACAAGTCACGAAATCCCAGTTGTAAGAAACTTGGGACGCTCAAAAATGTTTCAGAGGTGACCCAGCATTATAAAACAAATTACACCAAAATTTACTCAACAAAATCAACATTTTAACCCAAAATAAATTGTGTCTAGTCTTTTCATTTCTTGTCTTATCACAATAATCGTTCACTGTTTTTTTGTTTGTTTGTTTCACTTTCTAGACACCAGGGACAAGCCGTGTCTTCGTGCCTCAACCCTCAACAAGTTACGAAATCCCTGTGGTAAGAAACTTGGGACGCTCAAAAATGTTTCAGAGGTGACCCAGCATTATAAAACAAATTACACCAAAATTTACTCAACAAAATCAACATTTTAACCCAAAATAAATTGTGTCTGGTCTTTTCATATCTTGTCTTATCACAATAATCGTTTACTGTTTTTTTGTTTGTTTGTTTCACTTTCTAGACACCAGGGACAAGCCGTGTCTTCGTGCCTCAACCCTCAACAAGTTACGAAATCCCTGTGGTAAGAAACTTGGGACGCTCAAAAATGTTTCAGAGGTGACCCAGCATTATAAAACAAATTACACCAAAATTTACTCAACAAAATCAACATTTTAACCCAAAATAAATTGTGTCTGGTCTTTTCATATCTTGTCTTATCACAATAATCGTTTACTGTTTTTTTGTTTGTTTGTTTCACTTTCTAGACACCAGGGACAAGCCGTGTCTTCGTGCCTCAACCCTCAACAAGTTACGAAATCCCTGTGGTAAGAAACTTGGGACGCTCAAAAATGTTTCAGAGGTGACCCAGCATTATAAAACAAATTACACCAAAATTTACTCAACAAAAGCAACATTTTAACCCAAAATAAATTGTGTCTGGTCTTTTCATATCTTGTCTTATCACAATAATCGTTTACTGTTTTTTTGTTTGTTTGTTTCACTTTCTAGACACCAGGGACAAGCCGTGTCTTCGTGCCTCAACCCTCAACAAGTTACGAAATCCCTGTGGTAAGAAACTTGGGACGCTCAAAAATGTTTCAGAGGTGACCCAGCATTATAAAACAAATTACACCAAAATTTACTCAACAAAATCAACATTTTAACCCAAAATAAATTGTGTCTGGTCTTTTCATATCTTGTCTTATCACAATAATCGTTTACTGTTTTTTTGTTTGTTTGTTTCACTTTCTAGACACCAGGGACAAGCCGTGTCTTCGTGCCTCAACCCTCAACAAGTTACGAAATCCCTGTGGTAAGAAACTTGGGACGCTCAAAAATGTTTCAGAGGTGACCCAGCATTATAAAACAAATTACACCAAAATTTACTCAACAAAATCAACATTTTAACCCAAAATAAATTGTGTCTGGTCTTTTCATATCTTGTCTTATCACAATAATCGTTTACTGTTTTTTTGTTTGTTTGTTTCACTTTCTAGACACCAGGGACAAGCCGTGTCTTCGTGCCTCAACCCTCAACAAGTTACGAAATCCCTGTGGTAAGAAACTTGGGACGCTCAAAAATGTTTCAGAGGTGACCCAGCATTATAAAACAAATTACACCAAAATTTACTCAACAAAAGCAACATTTTAACCCAAAATAAATTGTGTCTCCGATCTTTTCATTTCTTGTCATATCAACTTTAGATAGAAAGCTGATATTTTTCACTGTTCAAGTTGTGGAACTAATATTTAGTACATCAACATGTTCCTTGACAAATATTAACAATAAATATATAATTATTAACTTGGACAGCACGATACACATAGAGCCACGAGGAGTGCCTGCCTTGTCCTTCTTGGCTTTGAGCAATACTGCCACCTGTATGTACCAATAAGTGTCAGTGCACCCAAAGACTAGAAACTAAATGATTGGCATAAGTGTCGCCATTTTCTTATACACATGAGAAGCTCACCGATGCTTCATTCGCCAGTGTTGGTTCTCATTCTGTCTGTTTTTTGTTTTTTTTTTGTACTTCTGTCACAAAATTAACTAATGTTTTAAACTTTAGCACTAGGGAAATAAGCTAAGAGAAATATTTGGCCCCGTTCAGTAGGCTTCTCAGCAAGTAAGGGTGCATTGCGGAGAAGCGACACGCATGAAGCGGACACCGCGATCGCGCGAATCGCGACGAGCCTTCACTGAGGCTTCACCACAGTGCAGTCTCCTGCTTTATGACGAAGCATACCTCCAGATTCAAAAAGAAAAAAAAAATGGTGGGAACGTGGTGTGGTAAATGTTGATTATGCCTGATAGATGTTGGTTACCTGTTTACCTACAAAATGGATTAGGCTACAATATCCTGACAATTAAGCTGTATGTGTGCACCAATATTGGTCATCTCTTTTAGTTTGCAACAAGGCGCTC